TTTAGTCCATTTTATTTTAATGGATTTTGAATTAATTATACTCTTGGTTATGCATTTCATTTACCAATTATTTATTTATATCAAATGACAGGCGCTTTGATAGTTATGATTACCCCTTTAGTTAACTTCAGGCTTCACAGAGGGGAGGAGGAACATCAAAGTGTACAAAGACGAGAAGGGTGGGGGTGGGGGGGGGAGGGAAAAAGGAGCAATTCATGGATGCAGAAAGAGACAGGCAGACACAAATGTAGAGAAAAGTGAGGTGAGCACTGTGGAAGAAGTCGAATATGGCATAGAGTGAGGTGATGGCAGTTTGAAGTGAGAAGTCAACTGCCAGTCAATAGACTTTTTTGCCGTATGAGTATACGTTGCCAAGGGTGCATCACGTGGAGGTAAGTCTATCGCACACCCCGCATTTATTAATAATAGTGTTGCTTGATCGTTAATTTGCTAAAATTTTCTGTTTCCTTGTTAACACAACCAAGTCAAGTGATTTAAGTAAATTGCAAGACCATATTATTTTTGAGTTCCCTTAAATGGACATTCTGTTTTTTACTTGAATACACGTCTAAGTGGTTTTCGGTTTAATTAGCATTTAAAATCACTTTGTTCTTTGAGTCAGTGATAGAATCTTCTAACTTAATTCTCTGTTTCCTTAGAGAGTTTTTCTTGTCTTGTGAATTGGGTATTGCCAAAATAGACGTGGTGGTTTACCTTTCAATCTCTACTTTTGTCTTCTCGTTAGTTGACTGGAGTAAACTTCAAGTTTGTTGCACACTTTATTATACACAAGCATGTTTTTGCAATAATTATTTCGTCTACAAAGTAAAACACAAAACTTCAGGGTTGAATGGGTGCTTTAATGGAGTAAAAACGGTCCTGTTCCGCTTAAAATTTCGGGGCATTTAATTTTTTCTATTTATGCTAGGAGTAGTATTTGAATTTGCTGTAGGCCAACAATTCAAATCTTAATTTTTTTGAAAAATTTATTGAACTGAATTATTTTTCATGGTAATGCAACTTTTAAATA